ACAGACTTAATGTTTCTCTAAAGTGTATTTTTCACAGATTTACACATTCCCCCAATTCTGCACCAAGTTCTCAACAACAATTGCACCCTTTCAGATTCCAATGCCAATTTTTTTGTTGTTTAGATGTGCATATGCATGTGGGTCTGCTGTCTGTTTATATGCTTGCACATAAGCTGTTTTTATATTACATGTGATTATTTTAAGGCTTGCAAACTTTGTAAACCAAGGAGTTTGTCATATTAGGCAACAAAGAAATGTGATAAATGAAATTAAATGCATTGTTCCATTTGGGCAGCTTATAATGAAGGCTAGATATCACCTGAAAGGGGAAGAAAACCATGAAATTTGCATTTTAACCTCCTTTCTGTTTGTCCTTCCAAAAGCTCAATATTTCACTGATAGCAGCTGTCCCTCAAGAAACAATTCAAACCAATGCACAGAGTGTTCAGAAAGCTCGTAAGTTAGTAGCCATTACCGGCACCTGAACAGAGCTGTACAGATCTGACCCAAAATATAACCATAGGAATGGCAGTAGCACTGAGAAAGAGAGGGATTTCCAAAAAGTACAGTTAATCATGCACGGAAAATAATGCCTGAGGAAAAAGAATTCCTGGCATTTGGCTTCACATTTTCCGTGCAATGACAGCACCCACTAGAGTCCAAAGCTTTGCTTCACAATTGGCATTAAGACAATCAGAAACAACCATCCTGCACTTTGAGGCAAGCACAATGCAACCCACGTTCACAGACCAGCCTGAATTTTAAAAATACAGATATACTGCTTTTATGATTTCATGGCCTTTAATTTGTTTATCTTTTTGTGTTCACATTTTCTAGCAAACCATCCCAGGAATACCATTGAAAGGTTGTCTGGAAATACTTAATAGAAAAAAAAGTGAAATAGAACCAGAAACACACATTATCACCAACGTTGATTATCCAGCCACTTGGCCTTAATGTTCTAGGAAGTGAGGCCAACCGCAATTCTCCCACTGCACTTTGCCTCCCCGGCCCCAAACGGGTCTACAACCAGAGCGGAACTGCACACGAGCAAGCCCACTGCACCCTCTTGGCAGAAGCACAGCAGGGTCCCATAGACAGCCACACACGGTGCTGTGTAGGCACTCTGCCAGCCGTCCAAACTGTACCGTGCTGCCGTCCGTGAGCTGAAAAGCATCCCTTCCACAACGCTGTATGCCCCGCCATGTCCCATTTGGACCCCACTCCACACGAACGAACGGAGGTTCCCTGGGCTTCCCAGGTGCTCTCCCAGCCAGGCACTGACCAAATTCAGATCCGCTTAGCATTAGAAAGGGCCATGCTTTACACACCCACGGACCAGCTGCTTCCTGCAACAAACCGCACCCAGCCACAACATCCACGCATTTGCTCCGGCGGCCTCGCTGTCTCGCCACCCTACCTGGCTCAGCCGGGCCGGTGCCTTTTCCCCTCCTGTACCATTTCTAAGGCGGCAGGATACAGAAGACAGACTTTTCCTGGGACAGAAGAAATGCCTCCATGTGGCACTGCGGTTTATTATTCCATGCATCCCAGGAGACTGAAGGTAATGCTCTTACGAACTCTGCACAGGTAAAACCCGATTGCCCTCTGAGCTGCCGAATTATGGCAGAGGATCAGTGGGTAGAGGACAAGTTTCCCATGGTGAGGGTCCCAAGGAGATACCCAAGTCCTCTCTCTCCCTCTCTGACGAGGCATACCACCGCAGGGAATGCTGCATGGGTCTCTAATGACGGAAAACTCATTTCAGGAAAGCTGTGATGCTGGAAACATGGGAACGGTTTTAACTTGTGATATGATGAATAGCCTTGTCCTGAAAGCCTTTCTTACTATACGTGACACAGAACTCAGGTGAGATGGCTCTGGGCAAACCCACTTCTATATTACGAGGTTTCAACAGTATTAGCCCAAATATGAGTGTGGTTGATTATGGGTTGTATCCAGCGCTAGACTAACTTAGGCCTCTCATATTCCAACCAGTTTAGACTAAATGGGACTAACACGGAATACAACCTGATGGGTTTAATCGGAAGAAAGCAGAGGACAAGTGCGATATGATGTTTACACAGCTTCCCTGGCATACGTGACTTTACTGCGTGAGCCATGCAAGCAAATATACAGGAAAGGGAAAGGTGAGGCAGGGGCAAATCATCAGTTGTAAGTAGAGATACCTGGGTGGCATGCCAGTAGGGAGCTGAAACCTGAGGAGCTATGTTACAGCCTTAGCAGATTTTCAGGATGAATGCGAAGGGGAATAAAGCGGAGATACTGCAGGAAAAATTCAGAGGCATTCCAGGTACGATTGTCAACAAGGATGCATAGGAGGAGCTGACAGAATATTTTTGGATGGTTGGAGCTTGAGGGAGCGAGAGTCACAAGATGGAGCAGAACTTTAAAGATCATTGACTCTGGATGCACAACGGGATGGAAGGAATGCAAGCAGATGCGCTGAAGGGGAGGCGTGCAGCCTGAACGACGGCAGACAAATTATTGGGTGAACTAAGAATTCTGAGGAAATGTAAGTTGACTGAGGGGCTGAGACAAAAAGAAGAGATTTGTGAACTACCATGGAAGCCTTGGCTTTTGGGCTGTACAGGAATGGAACAAACTCAAAAGAAAAAGACAGGATTGTAGCAGTCGGAGGACTAGGAAATAAGACAGAGTCGAAAGGATGCAAAAGCCAACCGGGATTTGATTTCTCGTGCGTTTAATATGCTAACGCAATTAGGCTAACATATGATTTTCATTCCAATTTCCAAGTAACGTTTAATTGAAACACGTTAGTGGGGCCAATATGCATACATATAATTTCAGAACAGAAATTGAAAAATAGGGGCATATTGAGACAATATGGAAAAAGGAAACACTAACTGAATTTCTGATGCATAATTAATATAATAAAATAATTTATAATGTGGCAAACCTAATTAATAGGGTTAATTTATTTATTTGTTTGTTTATTTAGTTATTTAGAAAATTTCTATGCCGCCCCATTCGCCGAAGCCTCAGGGCGGCTCACAAAACATCAATTAAAATATAATACATTAAAAATATAAAACGAATTAACAACATAAAATAAGTCGCCCTGGCCAAAGAATAAAATAAGGAAATAATATTAGCAATTAAAATGATGTTTGAATAAAAAGGTCTTCGCCTGGCGCCGAAAAACAAATGACGACGGTGCCAGGCAGACCTCTCTGGGGAGCGCATTCCATAGATTGGACGCCACCGCAGAGAAAGCCCTCCTCCGGATACTCACCCTCCTAATTTCCTTCACGGAGGGTTCCCGGAGAAGGGCCTCTCCTCAGATCTCAGGGGGCAGGCGGGCGTATATGGACGTAAGCGCTCCTTCAGGTAGCCAGGACCCAAGCCGTTTAGGGCTTTATAGGTCATCACCAACACCTTGAATTGGGCCCGGACTTCAGTGGGAAGCCAGTGAAGCTGACGGACGACTGGAGTCATGTGAACATAACGCCCAGTCCCCGTCAGCAGCCTGGCAGCTCTATTTTAAATTAGGGCAATTTATGATTGGCATTCCAATATGCTTACATTTAAAGCTTGAAACCTACTGCTGCAAGACAGAGTGCCCGTAACCTAGCCTCACAAGAACACCATGGCAAAGGAGAGGCCAACCTGCTCCCAGAGAATAGCTAGAGAAGTAACGGCTTCTTACTCCCTTACACATGCCTCTCGTCTTTCCCTGCCAGGGTAGAACACGTACATGTAGAACAGCTTTGAAACAAAGAACTGGTGTCCAAAATTTGCTTTACTTTCCGTCTTCTCCCTCAATCTCTTTCCTGACGTATCTTTTAGATTGTAAACCTTGAGTACAGAATTTTCCCCATTATAAATCTTTGTAGGCCACTGCTATGTACTTCCTCCTTTTCTTGAAGAGCAAAGTCAAAAATTCTACTGTAAACTCACAAATATACAAATTCACCCTACATACAAACATGTTCAGATTATGAAATGAGAGATTTATAGTCCGATGTATAAGGATGAAGAAAATCTGTTTGCACACAAACACAGACACACAAACACCTTTTTTATGGTTTTGTAGCCGCTTAAGATGCAATTAAATAAAATGTAAAAAAGTAATAGGAGCACGAGTAAATTACAATATTGGAAACATACATGCCCACCTCTATAATGCAATGGATTGAAGACTTTGCAACACTTGGCAATATTCCCAAGTGGGTGCATATATGATGTTTTGGTCTTCCTTTACTGAAACAGATGTGTAACTGATGGCACGGCAGTCAGTGTGGGATGTTCTAGTCCCCCTGCTCAGCCATGAAGCCGATTCTCAGGCTAACCCACCTCACAGGGTTGTTGTAAGTAAAATATGAAGAGGAGCTAACAAAATGGAAGGGAGGGCAAAAGGAAGACGAACCCAGAACCCTGTAAAATGTCTTCCTTTCTTTTCAGAAGGAAAAAAAAGATAGGGTGTTAGTGTAATACAATAATAAATGTAAGCCGTCAGGACAGCTGTGCAAGCAAGAACACTGTCCCCAGGCGTGGAAGCTCTGGGTTTTCGCCTCCGCTGAGCTCACCGGGTGATGTGGGACCAGCCCTTGATCCTCAGCCTGGCCTACCTCGCTGGGCTATTGTTACGAAAATAAAACAGAGGAGGAGAACCCGGCCAACTTCCTTCCAAAAGGAAACAAGGCCTGATGCCGGTGCAGCGAAAGCAATTGCCAACGCACACGAAAGCCAGCGCAGCTGCGAGGCCAGCCATTCCAGCCGGGCACTTCACGCCCAGCCCCGCCAGCGGCCGACCTGGCAGGGCTGTTGTTGCGAGGGCGAACCGGGGCGATCCCCGGCCGCTGCGGGGCAGCCCAGCCGCGCAGAGCGAGGCACGGCCGCTCAAGCCAAGGCCCTGGGCCCCGCACGCGGGCTTCCGGCCTGGCCCCGGCCCTACGGCAGGGCAGGGCAGGGCGGGGCGGGGGGCGAGGGGCGAGACGGGGCGCCGGGCGACTCACCCACAAGTCCCTCTCGGAGCGGTGCAGGCCGAGCCGCTGCAGGCCGACGGCCAGGTCGTGCACGCAGAGCGCGCCGTCGCGGTTCACGTCCAGCTGCACGAAGAGGCTCTGCACGCGCCGCTCGTGCTCCGCGGCCGAGCAGGAGGAGCCGCCGCCGCCCGGGGGCCCGTCCGCCGCGACCGGGGCAGAGCAGGCGGAGGAGGGGGAAGGCGCCGCCGCCGTCGTGGCGCCGCCGCCGCCGCCGCACTGGCAGAGGACGCCGCTCACCACCGGGGAAGCCAGCGAGCGCCGCGCGCCGCCCGGCATGCCCGCCCACCTGCCTGCCTCGCCGGTAAATGGCCGCGCGCCGCACAGGGCCCGCCGCTGCCTCGCCCCGCCCCGCCGCGCCCCGCCGCGCCGGCCCCGCCGATTGGCTGGCGCGGCCGCGGCCCCCGACTGGCGTCGCGGGGGCAGCCGGCCACGTGACCCGCCCAGCCAATCCGCAGCGCGTCGCGCGGCAAAGAGGCGGAGCCAAGCGCGTCAGGGTAGGAGGGTAGGAAACCGAAAGTGCTGACGTAAGGGAGCACATGACCCGGCTCCTTCTCCGCGCCACATCCCGGACTTCCCCCCAGCTTCCGGGGAGGGTGACGTAATGGGCCGGGGCGCCGCCGGGACGCGTGGTCAGTGATAGGAAGGGCTAGGCAGAGGGTCGTGATTGGCGAGAGCGGGCTGTGGTTATGGAGAGGGTCGTGATTGGCTAGGGCGAGCGCTTACAAGAGCCAGTCAGCGTAAGGCAAAGCGGGTAGGGGGCGGAGCTCATGGTACGGAATACGAAAGGTAGAATAGGCGGGGCAAAGGGGTGGGCATTTGAGAACTGACGGACACGGAAATTCCCCAATCAGGAAAGGCGCAGCGTGTACGTTCCTCGGATGGACGAGCGACTGGGGCAAATAGGCTCGAGACGGTGCCGCGGACAAAGGAACGACGGCATCCCGTGGAGCCAATGAGGAGGGCGCCGCGGGCGGGCTCAAGGCCCTGATAGGCAGGCGCGCGGCCCAATGAGCGGCAGAGGCAGGAGGAGGCTGATTCTGGAAGCCATTACGCCACTGCCGCAAGCCTCAGGCTCCCTTTGAAGCGGGTTTCGCCGTCTAGCTGGGGTACGCAATTTGCGTATCTTCCCTCGACTGGAGGGAAGCCGGCGCGGGGAGGGGAGTTGGGGCCTCGGCGCCTTCTGGGGGCCGGAGGGGTCTCGCCTCGCCTCGGCGGAGGCCGGTGGCCTCCGGGGGACCCTCCCCGGCTAGGCCCCAGGCCTCGGGGCCCTTCCCGCCTTCGCCCCGGGCCCCCGTCCCCGCCGCTTGCCCTGGGCGCCCTCCGCCCCTCCGGAAACGGGGAGCGATTCGAGCGTCTCTTCCCGTCCCTCAAAAATAGCATTAAAATTGAAATTATGGGGGGGGGGTCCTTCCCCTCCCCTCCCTCTGAAAAGGAATTCAAAATGTCGCTTCTTCTGGAGAGTTGCAATAAATTTAGTTTCCGCGCCCCATTCCCTCAGAAATTATATCGAGATTGAAAGTATAGCCTTTCTTGGTCCTTCCTCTGAAACTAAATTAACATTGTTAGTTCTGGTTCTTTCCCTCCCTCGGGAAATAGGGAGTTGCTTATCAATTAATAAGGGAGTTAATTGCTATGCTGCCCGACAGCCGAAGTTCTCTGGACAGTCACTCAGAAATTATATTGGAATTGAAAGTATATCGATTCTTCCCCCTTTTCCCTCCTTCAAAATTAAATTGAATTGTTTGTTTCCTTTTCTAGCGCCTTTTCCTCTGAAATAGTTGCAATTGATTTCAGTTGCATGCCTCTTCCTCTTGGAAAATATGTTGGAACTGAAATTATATCACTTCTTTCTCTTTCTTCCTTCAGAAATAATTCTGAAACTGAAATCACGGTCTTTCTTTTTCGCACGCTTTAAAAGTGAAGTTGAAACGATAGCATTTCTGTTTCAGCTCCATTTCCTTCCTCAGAAATTATATTGAAAGGAAATAATTGTCTTTCCTCCTGTTTGCCAGTCTTATCAGAAATTAAGCTACATTTTTTCTTTCATTCTTCCTTAAGACATTCTGTTGAAATTTGGTATTAAATTTCATGTTTCCACTGCTCTTTTACTCCTTCAGAAGGTATAGTGATGCTTGAAATTACATTTCATTTGCCTGTTTTTTCCTCCTATTGAAGTTCTATTGAAATTATACTTCCTTTCTCAAACATGCAATTAGAAATCTCTTTAAAACTTACATCTTTTGGTCCTCCATTTTGCACCTTCCTCATTGTCCCACAATGATCTGGGAGCTTATTCCCAGTTAAATCTGTGTATATATGTGGCACGGTCCTAAACATGCTTATTCAGATGTAAGTCCCACTATATTCAGGTAACTCCTAGCTAAGGCGATGCACATTTTGTATTGACTCCCACCTTTTAATGCTAAATTCTGCCCCCCCCCCCCCGCATCCTGTAGAGCTTTAGCTTCTTTCCTGTCCATCCATCCCCCACCCTCAGTTAATCTTGGTGTAAATTACCTCTTACTCCCTACCACATACGCTCTTGTCTTCCCTGTCCCTTCAGCTAGGCCTGTGCCCATGCAGATTGTTACCCCCTAGAGAACATTAACGCGTTCTGCTTTCAATATTTTAAACACATTAAAAGTGTTCTTCATAAAGTGGCTGTATCAATGTTTATTTTATTTATTTGTTTCATTCCATTTCTGTGCTGCCCCATAACCCAAAGTTTCTCTGGGCAGCTTACAAATGCTAAAACAGCATCGAATACATAGGATACAATAAAAACAAAGTAGATAAAACCATAAAATAATAGATAAACATATCATGATAAAACACAGCTGCACAAACTATAATAAATACAGCCAATAAATTGACCAAAATTAAAATATCTTCTTGCCCAGCTTCTGCCAGTGTGGCTTTGATCCAGACCTTTGAGAATGCAGATCCCTATAAAATGCCCCAAGACTTCTGCTCTCTGCCTTTCACCGATGCCCTGGTTGACGTTAGCCTGACCAACTCTGCCCTTTCATAACAGGTTTCTGCCTTGGCCAAGAGGCCCAGCCTCATCCTTCATCCCTTTCTGGAGTCTGGTGCCCTGCTGTTACCGTTTCCACTCGGATCCCTGCTCCTTCCCAGCTACCCTCCCTTGCCGGGAAGTCTCGCACCGAGCCCACAGCGCCCTGCTTGTCTCTGGGCTCGAAGTGCCCCATGGCCATGTCATCCCCACCCGCACCACCGGCCAAGAAACGGAAGATGAACTTCTCGGAACGGGAAGTGGAGATCATCGTGGAAGAGCTCGAGCGGAGCAAGCACCTGCTGATCAACCACTTCAACGCGGGCGTGCCGCTGGCGGCCAAGGCGGCTGCCTGGCACAACATCCTGCGCCGCGTCAACGCCGTCGCCACCTGCCGCCGGGAGCTGCCCGAGGTCAAGAAGAAGTGGTCGGACCTCAAGACAGAGGTGCGCCGCAAGGTGGCCCAGGTCCGGGCCGCGATGGAGGGAGGCAGCGACGGCCAGGAGGGCGGCGGCGAGGGCCAGGAAGCCGAGGACCCAGCGGGCGCCACCGCAGCCCCTGTGATTCTGACGCCCATGCAGCAGCGCATCTGCAACCTGCTGGGGGAAGCCACCATTATCAGCCTGCCTGCGGGGGACTGTGCTGCGGACGGGTCCGAAATGCCTATCACGGCGGCAGCCACTACCGTCACCCTTACTCAGAGTAAGTGTGTGGTGCCCTCCCTTCCCACAGCACGCCGACCCCTGATTGCCTGTGCAGAAGCGATCCCCTTGGTGAGAGCAGTTCCCCTGTTTGTTTTAACCTGACTAAAATGTAGCCATTTGCAGTGTTTAAAATGACAGGAAAATGTAGTGTCGGGTATAAAGGAATGAAAATCTAAACCTTTTTCTCATGGTAATTACAAAGAGGCTTGGGGCATCTTGACAACCAAAAGATTTCCTGTGGCGCAGGCTTTCGTGGAATACAACCTATTTTGTCAGATGCATGAAGTGCATTTAGTCTGCAAATGTATCCCGCAGTGGGGAGAGGGAGAGGAGGCCAAAAGTCACAAATGAGAGAAACGTCTGGCTCTAGCACTGGTGTATTTAAATATACTGAAGGCCACCTGTATAGACACAAACATAAGTTGAGCAGTGCGGTGTGTGGTGTGGTGTGGTGGCAAAGCCAGGCCCTGCTTTGTCCCATGCACAGAGAGCTTATGGCTTAATGAGCTTATCAGACGTCTGTCAACAGAATTATCTCTTTGGGTTTGCCTTAGAGCAGGGAGGGAGTAGCGCTTTTGCCCTCAAGGAATGCGTGTGACAGTGGGCTGGACGTGGAATATAATGATGGACGTGACCAGGGCTGGTGTCTCCGTGCACAAACAGCCTTCGCCCCTTTCATGCACTTGCTTGGCACGCATGTACTGATATATCGTACGTGCAGTCACACACAAATTCGCGAAGAGGGCTGCCACCTGGGTAGGCAAGTGTGAACCCTTCCTGGGTGTTGTTTCCCTCCTCGTACTCATGGCCGCTGTCCTCTGCAGGCTGTGGGAAGTACGATTTTCATAAGGTGGGTGGTGTGAAGTTTTTGTCCCGGCACGCCACGCTTTCTGTGAAAATGGCACTCTTCCCCAGTTCGGCTGGCAGGCAGAGCACAGCTGTGATGGAGAGAATTCGGCAGAGCTGGGGATGTGGTGGGCGCCGCAAATGCCACGCGGAAGTTCTCCAGGGGTCACGCATAGCTCTTTAGTCACCTGCACGTGATAAGGCAAAACCCGTCCAGTGTATTGGACTCCATAAAGGAATGAGGATAGCTTGGGGTGTTCTGGACATGTGTCTCTGTGTTAAACAATCACACCGGATACCTGGGTCTTCTGAAGGAAGCAAAACCACCTGACGCCCACTAGCTAAGGCTATTGTAGCCTGGAAGAGGGGTTCGCAACCTTTTTTTTTTTTTTAACCCATGGTCTCTTTCTGAGCCTCATTTACTTCTGTGACCTTCCTCATGGCTACTGTTAGCTGGAGAAAGTGCTTTACCGTCTGCACTGTGCCCCCTAGGACCATGGCATAGCCTCCTGGGGGGCCCATGCCGAGGAGTGCTGTTGTAGATGATCGTGAAAGGGAGTGACGGCCGGCATTTTCAAGTGAGAGGAACTGATGGGACCTGTTGGACTAGCCACATTTTGGGGTGCCACCTACTTCTCTCTGGAGACAGGATGTAGGGGGGCAGGTTGGTCTGTTGAAGTGCCCCCTCGCCTATGCTCAGCTACATATCTGTAAATAAATTCAATTATTACAAAGTGCCATAAGCCCCCACTGACCTCCTCCCAAAGCTAACCGGAAGTCAGTGCCCCGTCCTGGAGCTTCTCACCATGCAGAGAAGTTAATAACGATAGTTATCTGTCCATGCGAACTGCCGTCTATGAAATCACTGTACATCCGCCAGCCTGAAGGTCTCACGAGACCCTTTGCTACTTTCTGGCAGCACCCAACCCGAGGCCCGTGCCCTGCAGAATGGTTTTTGTCTTCATGCCTGGGAAGGAACCGGGGAGGCTCAGCATCCTGCTTCACCCACCGGCCCATTCCCATACCCCTTTTCTGCTCCTGCAAAATGGAGGACTGCTGTTGGCCTGGGGTGTCCCTTCTGCTCGCTCGCCTCCCAGCCCAGCTTCCTTCTAGAACATTGGATGAATGAGCTCCACTCATGTTTTCCAGGGAATGACTGATCATGACATTTAGAGCCACCCACAAAGTCACATTTTCACAACTCAGATTTGCTGGTGACAGTGCACCCTCGTCACTGCCTTCCCTGCACAGTATGTGATTTTGTTGGCTGGTGTGATTGTTTTCCTGCAGGGAAACAATGGGGGGGGGGCGCTATTCAGTGCATATGGCATAGCGTAGGCTGGAGAGTGGGGGTGGGACTGAAGGTGGATGGTCCCTCTTGCCTGGAATCCACCATGAAGGCTAAGCACACCCATCCCCACGCTCTCGGCCAGCAAAGCTGGGAAGAGGAAACCATTCTTAGCGCTTGGACTTTTTAGTGATTTCTTTTCCAGCAGAAAGGTCAAACTGAAACATCAAATAATGAAAAAAATTCATATGTATTATCTGAAATGAATGAAGTGCTTTTAAAGGCAACACTTAATAATTCAAAAAGTGTGGTATACAGGTTTTTATTTAAGATCTAGCATTAGAATCCCCGTGTGTTCTGGAGTGTCCTCTGGAGGCTTCAGAATACGTATCCAGTCAACTGGACCGGTAGTCAGGGAAGATGAGATTTGCGGCCAAAAACCACGGGGGGGGGGGGGGTCTCACCAGCGTTGGGAGGGCTGCTGTGGCACTCTCGGCACTGGGACCAGCTTTTTTCACACCGAGGGGGTGCTGCCCTCTCCATGACACGGGGGGGGGGGCGGGCTGCTTGCCCTCCAATGATCTTGAGGACGGGACAAGGAACACGCATGCCGTAGCTGCAGCTCCTTGGGCCGGGCCTCTCGCTTCTGGTAGACCTTTGCGCATCCCTCCTGAAAATCAGTGACAAACACACCCCATTAGGAAAACTGAGGCACTTCTTGAAGAGGGAGAAGGGCTCGGGGCACGCCTAGGGTTGTTCTAGTGTCATCAACACGCAGAATAGTGCAAATCTATAGGCTAAACATATACATATATTCTCCCACGTGTGCTGCTCTATGCCTAAATGCCTACTTCCTTCATTTAAACCATTCTTTCAGGAGCATATGCAGAGGAGGGTGGGGAGGCCAGAACAAGATTCAGATCACAGTGCCTCCAAGTTAGCTCCCAATTTTACCACTTAACCTGATCCTTCTCTTCACATTCTAATAAGCCTCCATTTTTCTCCTGTTTATCTTTATTCCTTTTGCAGAGCGTGGAAATACATTTCAGCTTCCTATGCACGAGCAAGAATGGGTTGGAGCCTGGAGAATAAGCTAGTCACTGGGGTTCTGTATTTGCAGCATGCTGTTTATAGAAAACATGGCCCATTATCTATTGCATTGTCGGCTCGGTGCCTGTGTTAAAGAATACATTTTGCTGTTGTTTTAAATCTGGTTTGCTACTTAGTACAAAAACACGTAGCCAAGACATGCTTTTCTCGTTCGCTCAACAACAGCAACAAAAGTAGATCCCATACAAAATGGTTAATTTTGCAGTGAGGCTTTAAAAAACAACCACTGGGGCATTTTAAAATCTTGAATTTTAAATCTTAAAATACTGTTTTGTAGGAAAATCTGTCAGCTGGCTCTCTGGTTGTGGTATAGATTTAGCTCTGGTGTTCACCTATGTTTCGTCACGTGTTCTGCTGTGTTATACTTTAAAACAGAGATGGACTTAAGACTGCCGTGTTTGATTAATTAACTCTGTTAGACTAGTATAAAAAAGGCATAATCTATGCATGTTTAGAAAGAAAAAAATATTCTCCAACTGCCAGCATTCTGCAGGCGGCAGTTGTAAGACTTTTCTGTCTAAACATGCTTAGAATTGTCTCATTGAATTCAGTGCAGTTTATTTCTTAGTAGACATGTACAGGGTAGCATTTCTTACAATTATCAGCTTTTCCAGTCGGTGCTCGTAAACACGGGCGCTGTTAATGTCTTACAGAGGAATGCCTCCCATATTCACTTCCCTCAGTCATTCAGGAGCATGTGCCTCATCAGTCGAAACCTCATCAGTGGGCAGAGCAATCCTGTATCCCCAGGGCAGTGCCTGGAGGAGCACAGTATGATTTGGAGGGCCAGTTCCATCCAGCCGTGAAGCTGGGAGTCTGTGCCTGGAGCAGTTGCAGGAAGACCAACACTGGCCCCCTAAGAGCAACCTCAGAGATGGGGCGAAGAAAGCGTCCTGGGGCAAGAAGGGCGATGCCCCAGCCTCCTCCCTCCCCTGTCCAAACCATCTCAGCCGGATGACCAAAATCTTTGCCTCTGTACTCTCCCCAACCGCCATAGGCAGCCCGCAGTGCTGCTTCAGAGGGTTATGGGTATCTCTCGTTGGACTGCATCCTTAGGCTTCAGCCTATACACTGTTATCCATAAGCCCTATAAAATCAAATGGGGTTCATTTCTTAGAAAACATGTAGAGGATCGGTATTATTTTTGTCAGCTGTTTCAGTTGGCGTATTTATATGCTCTAGAGCAAGTAACATGGAATGCCTCTTGTGCACCCCTCCCTGGTCTTTGGAAGGTCTGCCTCACCCGTGGTGAAGTCTTTTGCAAGACTTGTGGACCTCATTAAAAATTACTAAAAAGTAAAGCAATTTATTTTTTCTTTTACTTTCAGAATTATGTTTACTGACGTGCATATTTTATCGATGTTTGTTTACTTATTTTTATCATGTCGCATCTTGTTGGAAGCTGGTATGTAAGAATTCCTGATTAATTTTTTTTTAAAAAGTTGCCTTCCCTCTCTTTCTCCCTAGTTCCAGCGGAGACAACGTACCATAGCTTGGAGGACGGTGTGGTGGAATACTGCACAACCGAAGCTCCCACGACAGTTGCCGCAGAAGCCCCCTTGGAGATGATGGCTCAGCAGGCGGAGGTTTCCGGGAAGCCCCAGGAGTTGAAGAGCAGGATTGCCCTGAACTCTGCCAAGCTTTTGCAGGAGCAGCGGGTGACGAACCTGCACGTGAAGGAGATCGCCCAGCACCTCGAGCAGCAAAACGACCTCCTGCAGATGATCCGCCGCTCTCAGGAGGTGCAGGCTTGTGCGCAGGAGCGCCAGGCCCAGGCCATGGAGGGGACACAGGCCGCTCTGAACGCCCTTATTCAGATTCTTCGCCCCATGATCAAGGACTTCCGCAGGTTTCTGCAGAGCAACACGGCTGCCCCGCCAGTGACCACAGACCATAGCCAAGCGGTGCAGAACAGACAAGATGGCATCATTCAGTGAGATCCACGCCCAGACTTGGTAGAGGGAACGGGCTCCCTTGCCAGCAGGAGTGAACCGGTTCAACGCCTGCTCCTGGGAGCGGCTAGGCCCTCTGCTGGACCGTACTCACCGTTGCTTCATCTTTTAAAGTATTTAAATGTGCACAGATACGGCCTTTATTGAGCATACAAGGCAAACTCATAATTTAACATCAGGCTTTTCAGAAGCACGTACCAAAAGATTGGAAAAAATAGATTTTCTATAAAAGAAAGCACCCGTTCCTTTATCGTATGAAAAATTACAGGTTTTAGGGGGTTTGCTTGAGGTTAGGGTCATCATCTGATGGCAGGAGCTTGGAGATGATCACAAACAAAGACAGTTATTCTAAAGTGTCCCAGTAGTGGAGACTCTTGCCGGCATTAATTTGTAACAGCAGCATGTCTCTTTGCAAAACAATACCTCCACCAAGCCAGTGGTCAAAGCTGAGTGGTGCCAACAGCTAAGGGGGTGTGGCTGAACTATCAAAATATGGGGGTGAAAATGCCCCAAGGCTGAGTGACCATGCAGCAATTCACAGTGGGGGGGTGGGGATGAGCTGGAGCTGACCTGGGTTTCCACACTCCTGGTCTGTACTGACCGGCAGCAACTGCTCCCCTGCGTTTCAGGCAGGGGTCCTTCAAGTCCTTCCTGGAAACTGAGCCTGGGGGTGTTGGCTTGCAAACTGCATGCTGTGCCTCTGAGCTATGAATGAGGAGGAAACTTTCAGCAACTTTTTGGCCATGAGGACTAGTAGCTCTCAGTATGCTTCACCATAATGTGTCCAGTCCCCCTTTTAAAGCTGCCCAAAGTAGTTCGTGTGCAGAGGTCCCTTTTATCTGTCTTGCACCTCCTGCTGATCAGCGCTATAAAATGACCTTGGATTCTACTATTATGAGAAAGGGAGAAAAATATCTCCCCGCTTTTTCTGCCTCCTGCATAATTTTGTGTATCTGCCTGCTTCTGGTTGCCAGCTGAAGTTGCTGAAAATTTCATAGCTCGCTTCATGGCAGCAGAGCGAAGATGCTAGTGATAAACAAACGTGAAATGGCAAAGCCTTGAGGCACCTTAAGGACTAGCAAGTTTATTCTGGCATAAGCTTTTCTGATCCAGCCGACGCAAGAGATGTAGTCCAGCCTCAGGAGCTTTTTTTACCGTCCGTCTGCATGGGGCAGGGATGAGAACTGTGAACAGTGAGAGAGTTTAACGCGGAAGTTGAATGCCATTGGTTTCGTGATGTGCTTATGATGGAATGGGCTATCACCTACGCGACATTACACCAGAATAAATGCGTTAGTCGTTACGGTGCCACAAGGCTCCCTTGATCCACTGCCGTCGACGCAAAGGTACCCCTCTGGAAACATCTCGTTTTTAGCCCATCTTTCCTCCAAAGATCTCTGGGTTGTACAACTTGCCTAATTCCCCCTTCATCCCAAGGGCGGACAAGCGCACGGCCCTTCCAGATGTTTGGCAGCCTTTGCAAGCACAGCCCCTGGTGGGTCCGATGTCGGCTAGAACATCCGACAGTCCACAAGTAGTTCCCGTTCTCCCGACAGCTGGAGTGGCGGCGACTGGCCAGGGGTCCCCCGGGGGCTTCATGTCTCAATGAGTTTGAACCCCAGCCTGCTCAGTCCACCTGGGGGACGGCTCCACCACGTGGGTAAGGGCAGGATCCTGGGCAGTCGCCTTCAGACTTTCGCTAGGAGACAATGGCATCCTTGGGCGATTGCCTGAAGTCTAGCTTCTCCACCACCAGCCGTGCCATTTCACAAAACCAAGACCCTCTTGGTGGGTTGGATTAAAGCTCCTCGACCAAGTTCAGGGGAGAACCTGAACTGCACATGGTCTGGCGCTGAATCGGGAGCGCGGGGCTGCGCGGCGTGGCTCGCGCGATCCGGACTCGAGCCGTACTGGTCTTGGTGCGCAGCTCGGTCCTCCGGCCGCCCCGTCCCGGCCTCACCACTGGCCCGCAGGGGGCGCTCTTTGCTCAAGAAAGCCGCGGCTCCGCTTGCCATCGCTGTGCGGTGACTAGAAAAGGCCTGGGCGAACACCGAAGCCGGAAAGCCCGCATTCCGACGAACAGGCCGGAGCGCACAAGCGAGGCTGTTGCCCGGAGGTGCGCCTAAAGTTTGCGGTTCTGCATCCCCGGGGCTCGAGGAATGGGGCGCGGGCGGGCGCGCGCCCTCCCCCCTCCCTCCCTCCCTCCCTCCCGGAGGCCTCCGGCGAGGCGCTGTCGGGGCTGCCGCGGGCGCCGGGGCCCAGTCCGCCCCCCTCCGCGGAGCGGGGCGAGGCCTCCCGTGCTTTCCGCGCGCTCTCGCGACCCCCCTCAATTTGAAGGTAACCAAGTGACTCTTTGGCGCCCCCCCCCCCAAAGAAGGATCAACTCCACTCCCTGGACGTGACGGAAGGCCCTGCTGCCCAATCGCCGGGCTCGGCCTCGGCGCGGCGTCGCCCCCAGCCAATGGGGAGCGGGATGCCTCCCGCCCCAGCCGCTCGGGACGCGCGGAGCCTCCGCCCCGCCCACTGGAGGACGGGCACGTCCTCGTGGCTGGCTGGCGGGGCGGGGCTGTCGCACCGCCTCCAGCGTACGCTGCTGGCGTAGCGGGCGCACTTGGCGTAGCGCTGGCAGGGCCAGCCCGCGGCCA